AAAAAATCCGGATTTTTTACGTAGATCGAAAAACCGACCCCAGTACGTTCATAAACTCATCAAACAGTGTCTACAGACCAAAAATGAAGGACTTTTATTTTTTTGATTGTGGCCGCCCCGTGCTCGATATTTCTGGACAGTCGCTCTTAAATGACCGTCGTGAACAAGCTTAAACCAGGAACTCGTTTGTCCAGATTTACCAGATTGCACACTTGTCCACAGGATTCATGCCACTGTTTGGTTTACACTTAAAAACTTCAGAAAACTTCTCGAAGTTGGACAGTGGACCAAGAATTCTATCAACAAAATAATAAAATGATTAGACATAACCAAGGACCGTGGACCACTTTAAAACACGGGGGGGGGGAGACTAGTATGGGAAAAAGTGAGGGGGCGGCTAAGATTGGAAAATAGGAAAATTGGAAAATATAAGAAACTATAGTATGGGAAAAGGTAAAGAGAAGGGGGGGGGGGGTCTATTGCCACCCAGCTCTCCCCTCTGCCCCCCTCCCCCCAGTCTGCGCGGTCCCTGATAACTCTAGTTAATTAATTTTTTTTTATGGCATAATGGGTGCACAAGGATACGTACTCAATAAATTACTTAGGAATTTGAGGGTATTGGTGTGCGAGACGGTGAGAGACTGCTGGGATCATTGTTTTACGCAGTTCACACATGTGCGCTGCTCTCACTCGGCTTTGGTAGTGTATTCGATAACAGGACCACCGTCATATTTGCACGAGCAGAGTTAATTCCTTGTTAGCTCTCTGCTGTACATTAAAAAATATTTCCTTCTTCCAATAATATTAACTTTTAAATGTTCCAGTTTCGAGTTCTCTGTTACTCAGGGTCGTTTCCCTAGATTTTGTGTAGAATATTCATTTATTCCAGTGAAGGTCCGTGGAAGTTGAAAGTGTTTCTCAATTGTTGAAGTTGTGCATTCTTTACTTTACGTTTGACATTCGTAGATATTTTGAAGTTGAAATCATGCTAGCCCTGAGTAAATGACTCTGTAACCAAGGAACACAGCGGTATTGTATGAATTTGATAAAGGTGTATAGTTGCAATTCGATCTGGGGTCGCATTGGTGAAAAGCGAGCTATATTACCTGTATTTTCCCGTGGAATGGACGTCAGTGTACAACTGACTGTAAGCACCTTCCTTGCTATACACACTACACCAAGACTAAAGTGGGGGAAAAAACACCAATAAGCACACAAGTTGCTTTCATGAGTAGGAAATTTAGTAATTGATTTTTTTTTTTTTTTTCATTCCTTATAGACTGTTGCAGTTTTCTACCTGAGCAAATCCCAAGAAAAAGAGTTGGTTAGGGTTGAGGTAAAGACCAGGCAGGATTTTTTCGGTACCGTGTTCCTTTGTCCATCGCTGGTAAGCCTATGGAGGAATACAAAAACGATGATATGCATGGATGGATGACTGCATGGATGGATGACTGTATGGATGCATGGATGCATGGATGCATGGATGCATGCATGGATGGATGCATGCATGCATGCATGGAG